CGAGGTTTTTATATCTTGGTTACTCTCAACCTGGTTTAGTCCGCCCTTCGAACGGTTTGCCGAGATGTGGCTACTGATGCGTAACTCAGCTTCATCGAGCCACAGAGTTGGGTACGCGATGGAGATAGAAGAGGAGTAGGATGCTCCAAGGGAACACAACAGTTTATCCTACTCAGAGCTGCTTCTCTTATCACACCCCAGACAAAACGAATTGAGGTATCAACTGAAAATAATTCCAAAATGGGTGTAGAAAAGTTACCATGGTCAAACTCAGAGCTAAAAGCTTATCAGAAGTTGGTATTTGTCTCCTTCGTTCTCACGTTTCTTGAGGTGAATTGCTATAGAATCACCGCTTTTTCTTCTGGTCTTTGTACTCCCAAAACACACGACGGACCTCATTCGTACTCGCAGAGTGCTGTCAATTCATTCGCTCTTCTCTCTCTTACCAGGTTGAATCGGCGGGATTTGTTCATTCCTTCTTTCACCGTTCAGCTGGGCTATCGAACCCCGATCTCCGCTGTAGATGCTGTGTTTTTGGCCATATCTGCACTCGAATATTACGTACGTCCTTATTGTGATGAATTTAAACATTTGACGGAAATTTCATTCTCACAGGATTCTTTGGACATCCTTGATACGAGCTACTTGCTGACGGTTAATAAGTTATAATAATAAAAAAGACTACCATTTTCAATATTTATTGCGACCCATTTCGTATTGGCTCATTAAAGATAATCGTACACCCTCTCTAGACTAGTTCCGGGTAGGTTTCTGTTCCCTTTCCTCTCAGTTTTAGCACGAGAGATGTCAACTTTTGCCAGTTTCATTCTATCTAATATTACCTAGTTACCTGCATGGAGTTATTATTGTTTTTGTAGCCGGTAGTCCAAAATCCTGCTCATAGAATGCTTGTATGCTATGGGTCTCCGGAAGTTCTTCACTCTTTTTTCTTGGTACGTGTTTTAGTTGCAAACGCTCATGAGAGATCTTTTCGAGTTTGTCAGAACCACCGATGCGGCTTTTGCAATCGGTGGACGCGTTCTAATAATAAGTGTTCGTTTAATTGTTTTGGGCTCTGTTTGGCCCCATTTAGTCGGACTGGTCACAACATATTTCTCTCAACCGAAGCATCAAATCCTGCCGACCAAAGGTCTTGATTTGGTTAGTCCCTCGTAACTGCCATTTGCAGTTAGATCGTCCACTTGGTGCGACGTTCTATTAGTGAATTCACGAATTATGTAATCGTGCCAAATGCTTAACCAGGTTAAAATGTGATCGGTGAAAAAGGCTTTCACGTCACGAATAGCGAAAGTTCGAGCAGCTTTCGCCAACCTGCGACACCTGTGGCACCGCAACGACATCCGACTGTCCCTTAAGGAAAGAGTATACATCGCCGCAGTTCGTAGCGTTTTGCTTCACGATTGCGAGACCTGGGCTCTCCGCGTTGAGGACGCTAATCGACTTTCTGTATTCGACCACCAGTGTCTCCTAAGCATTGCTCGTGTCTGGTGGGAACACCGGGTGAGTAATGACGAGATCTGTCGTTGTGTTTCGGGTTTGGATAGTCGCTGTCTAACGGAAGTAATCGCTCTACACCTCAGTTGGCTTAGTCACGTACTGCGTATGTCTGCTCATCGACTATCTTTCCGTGCTCTTTTTGCACGTGCCGGGCAAGGCTGAAAGGAGCGCCGCGGCGGTCAGACCATGACATGGCGTAGAGGTATGAAAAAGCTGGCCTCAGCTTTGGCTTCGGTTGGTGCAGCGCGCCTTCCAGATTGGGGCCCAAGGGATGAGGATTGTCATCGGTTAGAGACGCTAAGAGATATGGCCCAGAATAGAAGTCAGTGGCGCGAATGATGTACGGTCTACCTGTTGAAGTGCCGTGCCCTATAAAAATGATATACACACGAAAATTCCAAAAATTGTACGGTGAAACAAAAAACTTGTTATCCCATTTATTTGTAATTTCGCATTTTAACAGTCTCGCCTTTTTCTGTACCATGTTCTATATTCCAAATCACCCATCCCGTTATTGTTATTATTATTGTGGCGTAGGCACTGTGCTTATCTGCAAGCCGTTGTTTACACACACACA